TTACCTTTATTTAATTGGGTTGAAATTAATTAAGTCGTGGTTTGGTGTTTAGAAACCCTAGCAACTCTAAATCAACGAGAGAAAACAGAGGAAGAGAGGAGATTGACGTTTTGGGAGAAGAAGAGAGAGTGACGTGAAACTCTTAGTGTAAAGGAAGATTGATGGTGTTTTAGGGTTATAGATAAAGCCATATGATTGGCCAAGGTATAGGAAAACTTACCTTTGTTTGTTTATGGTTGTATGTTATGTGTTCTTGATTATTTTGATTGGTAATCCTTGTTTTAATACATGTGTATATGATTATGATTATTTATGGTTATTGTTGGGTAAGAGTTTGTGTATGAATGGACATAGGGTTTATGTAGTATTTGTGATGAGTTTTCCCTACGAATGTGTTATGTATCTTTTGTTGGGTTATCCCAACAAAGGATTTGATGCTAAGGGAGAACAAAGTTATGATGCTTGGATGCTTCCATGCAAATATATGTTGTAAGTGTTGGGTTATTAGACTCTCTTCCTATGTGGAGAATAGGAAAAATAATGTGAATCATTATGTCTCACTTGTTTATTGGAAATGGGTCAGATTAGTAGGACACATTAGAGTCATTTGAAGAGAGGGAAAAAGCCAAGTGAGAGAGAAAGGAAGAGAAGAAGTCATTCCTACATAACATAAAACCTACACTGGTATTTTCGTCATTGTGAAGTCGTTCACCGTTGGATCAAGCTGACTTTTGAACAATGGGTTCCAAACGTATCATTTTTCATTCTAACCGTTCGGATCATCAATCAAGTGTCTAGTTTGGGAGAAAACAGCCTCGCACCAGAAGCTCTATTCTGGAGAATTTCATAAAATCTACACTAGTGTTTTCGTCATTGTGAAGTCGTTCACCGTTGGATCAGGCTAAGTTTTAAACAGTGGATTCCAAACGTACGGTTATTCAGTTTGATCTTTCGTATCCTTAATCGAAGGTTTAGTTTGGGAGAAAATAGCCTCACATGAGCAGCTCCATTTTAAGAATTTTCATCTTCTTGGTTTTTATTTGTAAATGTTATGCTTAATTAGTTTGGCTGATTGAAAACTCTATTTGGTGTTTTTATCGGAGATTCTTTTGCACCCTATTATTAGGGGTATAACATGTTGATGATTGATTCTAGATGATTCAAGTGATGTATTATATGTGTTTGAGTATGTTTACATGGGTATGTGATGCATGAATGCATGTATTATATGTTAACTATGTTTGCACGTGATCTAGGATTGATGTATGTATGCTTGAATGCTTGAATGATGTCTAGTAATTGTTTCCATTCGGCAATAATCAATTATCATTAGTCATAATCGATTATCTACGCATTGGTTTTGAGTGTAGTTTCGGGAATAATCGATTATATAGGATGATAATTAATTATCCATTCCTACGTGATGTTTCTAGGTAAATTTCACTGAGATAATCGATTATCTTAAGTGATAATCGATTATCACATGCATTGTGGTGAAAAATGGCGAATTTGATGAAGAATAGACATGAACCAAGCTTGAGGAGTTGTGGAACATGATAATAATCAAAGATTGATGTTAATGGTTATGTTTAGGATTAGTTTGACTTGTGGTTGAGAGTGGAGCGTGAACGAGTGTTGGGATGTACCTGAATATGTGATTGATGAACATGAGAGTGAAGGATAAGTCTACTTGTTGTACCTCGCAAATATTGGTTTAATCTAGGGATACGTGCTTCCTTTTGTCTTGTGTACATTGGAAGGAGATGATCTATATGGGAGGCTACAAATGTCCTGTAAGGGAGGCTACATGTGGATTGTAGGAATGGCTACAATTGGTTAGGCAGGGTACAAGAGTGAGATGGACTCTTTCCACTATGGTATTATGGTACAATGATGCTCATTGTGTTGCTCATGACTGTGATAGTCATGATGGTGGTGTATATATGATGATGATCATGGTACTTGAGATATTCCAGATTATGTTATCTTGATAATGGTATTACTATAATGGTTATAATAAGTAGTTAGCATGGATGCTAATGAGTATATATACCAATGGTCTATGTGAAATGTTAGTGATGACATCAAGGGTTAGAGATCAAAGATTGATGATCGAAATTCAAGAATCGGGGATCGAGTAATTCAGTATGCTTGAATTGTTTATGTTAGAGGATTATGAATAATTTGTTATTACTACTATGTATGTGGTGTTTGATTATGGTTGACATAAGCAGAAGGTATGTATCTTATCGTGTGTTTGATTATGATTGGTACAATAAAAAATTATGTATCTTATTGTGTGTTTGATTATAGTTGATATAATCAGTATGTATGTATCATGTTGTCATAATTATTTTATCGGTAGCTTACCCCATATATGTTTGTGTTTGTGTGCTTGTGAATGAAATTATCAGCGATGATCGTATAATGTGTTATACGTGAGCATATATTGTTACAGATGTTCCAAAGGCGAGATTAACTCGAGAGAGGATGAGGAATAACCTTGGGATTCATTTAAAGCTATTTTGTTTTACAAGTTAAGACAATATAATTAGAGTATTTTCTTCGTTATTTTATTACTTGAAATAATGTAATTGAATAAGATTTTCTTTAAATACGTTTCCGCGCACTGTGATAAATTTTGAATTTTATCAATTTTCCACACTATGTTACAATGTTGTTGCATTTACGTATACTTGGAAAGGAAAGAAGAATCCATTTACATATGTTTCCAAAGGGGAGAAAAATATATTGCTAATCGATTCCATGGTTAGAAATGTGAAGATGTGAAGAATCATGTGTGGGAGTTAAAAAATCGGTTAGGAAACTAATGTTAAAAAATCGGATAGGAAATTAATTCTTGTGGGTGTTGTGTGTTTGAGTCATACTTTATTATTGAGAGAATGATTGAAAATTTTACATTAATATTATAAACTAATTACATAATCGCACACACATGTATATATATATATATATATATATTATAATTAATAATAATACTAATATCAATAATAACAATAGTTATAAATATAATTATTCTTATTATAAAAATTATAAGGGTGAAATTGTAATTTTTATTATTATTTATTTATTATCAATGACAAAGTTTTACAAACTTCACTTTTAAATTCTTTCACTTTTATTTCAAATCCCTTCAAAGAAAAACTCTCTCAAATTTATCATTTCAAAGAAACACGTTTTTAATATTTTGTAATGTTTTAGAAATCACGGGTCATGTATTACTATTGAATAATCAAGATTTTAATTTAAGATTCAAAGAAAATCTTAAATACTTAAAGTGAAGGAGTTTTTCTTTTTAATAATAGTATCAACCTTGTCTTATTTAGAAAATAAATAAATAATCTTTGCAAGAAATTTGACTAAAGAATGTTTTGTGAAAGTTTGTTTTCGGACTTTGATATTTCACCATTGTAACACGACGACACGCACAACCAACCCTTCAAGAATACTTCTCTTCCGAGGCAAAGGAGAATACTGTTTCAAAGGCTTAATAACATTAATGGTCCCTATTTTCGTTAGGTTTGTTTGAAATAGTCCTAGTTTCTTTTTCTGTTTAATGTTGTCCTAAAGGATGTAATTTATGTTCAATTTAGTCCTTTTTGCAGACGGCGTTTAAATCGTTAACGACCAACTGTCTAGCTGTGGAATACCCAAATGAGATGACATTTAACTGTCCATGTGGAGCTGCCACGTGTCCTAATCAAGAAGGGTCATTAGTTGTTGTGATGATAGAAGCGCGCCAGTGGTGGTCACAATTCTTGTTCTCTCTCGCGGCGATGGTGTCTCAATGAAGAAGAAGATGAAGACGTTGCAGCCTTGCCCTTGTGATGGATGCTGGTGGTCTTGCACTAGGTGGATGTGCAATATTAGGGTTCTGTGGGTTTCTAATTTGGGAATTTTTGGACTGATTGTGTTTCTTTGCAGGTTGATGAAAGCACGAGGGAGAAACAGGTTCGCAGATATGGTGGTTCTTAGGCGCGATAGGGTGAGGGTTTCGAACTGCTAGGTTGCGTCAATGGAGAAGGAGGAACTCGCGAAGACATCGCGAATCACATCGGTGTTGTTTCTGGGTTTTTTTTTTGGGTTTTTTGGATTGGATTTGATGCAGGTTTCCGGTGCAGTTGATGATGGTGGAAGTGCGCTTCGTGACGACTGACGCAAGGTTGATGGTGGAAGGAGAGGATGAGCACAATGACATGGTGCTGGTGGCGGGGCTATGGGGCAGCGCGAACTGGGAAGAAGATGATGGTGAAGGCACGCGATGAAGATGGTGGCGCGTGGAGGTAGTTTCAGCGGCGTCCTAGTGATGGTCTTCTGTTGCGTTTGAAGGTCTTTGGTGATTGTGGTGGCTGCTTGAGGGTTTATGTGTGACGACACTAGGGTTAGGTGGTTAGAGAGAAATTAGGGTTTCAGTTTTTGTTTGGGCTGAAGGTTGAAGAAGATGGTGACGTGACATCTTCTAAATGTCATCTCATTTGAGTTTTTTACAGCTGGATAATGGACCGTTAACAATTTAAACGCCGTTTGCAAAAAGAACTAAATTGAACATAAATTACATTCTTTAGGACAACATTGAACAGAAAAAAAAACTAGGACCATTTCAAATAAACCTGACGAAAATAGGGATCATGAGTGCTATCAAACCCGGTTTCAAATAAAGCTCCAAAGGAAAACAAAAGTATTTCAAATCTTATGAGGGGTGCAAGTAGAAACTTGGGAATGGAAGAAGCAAAAACCTAAATCCAACTCCAATCGGCCTATAACAATTGTTTACGCTTCACATGTCACTCACTACTCAAACCCCCCTGCAAGTTGCACAAGTAAATCAAAACATAACAATTAAATTTTAAGAAATTAAAATTAAAATCTTATCCTTTAATTTACACCAAATCTAGATTTATTGATTTTTATTGTCCTTATTAAAAGTAACAGTCTTACTAAACCAAATATTTTTCGGCACAGTTTATACTTGCTTTACACGTAGAACATCATTTGCCACCTGTTCTCCTGTTTTTTTCTTTCTCTTATTTATAGTTTCTGCTTCAGACTCACTGCCACTGACGCCATGGGTGATCTATCTCAACTTCTCGAAGCAGCTTCTGATTTTAGTCGCTACCCAGGTTACTAATTTACCTGTTATTCACTTCCCTTTTCTTTGTTTATCAGTATTTTCACTTTGAGAATAACATTGATTCGATTTCAGGGGTGCAAAGCGATGATTCCGCTAGGGACTTTCTCAATCGCTTCCCTCTTACACTCATTATCAAGTTTGCTTCTTTTTCTCACTTATGCTGTACCCTTTCATCTTTCTATGTTTTGCTGCCTATAGGAGTTTTTACTTGGTTTAAAATGGGGGTGTTTGTGAGTGTGTGCATAGGATTGTTCTTCAAAAAAAGGAAAGCTAAGAATGGAAATTTATATATGGTCTTTATGCTGAATTTTTCTGGGGGGTTAGGTATGACATCATTAAGACTTGTGTGCATTCAGAATTTTCTTCTTGACTTTGATTGAAAGCATTTTGATTAAAAATATACAACTCATGGTTCTCTTTGGTACATTATAATGATTTGATAGACGAAGTGCTTTCACCTATTTACAAAAAATAAAAACGATTTAGTTTTAGAATCTTGATCAGTGGAGAACTTATTTGCATGTATGATGTCTGTTCTGTATGACTCTGTGTTGGTAGTTTTTTTTTTTTTTTTTTTTTAAAATTCTCTTCTTGGTCATGACATAAAGTTGGGGTTTACTGTTAATTCGATGACATATGACATAATACCTCGTTCTGGAGAAATTTTCTCTTGATTTTCTCCTTTAATTTTGCAGTGCACTACAGACTAACTTTGACGTGCCTGACATAGAAAATACTCTTGTTGCATGTGTTGAAAAGCTATTCAATACGACGTTGGGAGCTTCTTTGATCCTGCAGTATATGGTTTGCAATATACACTCTTAGCTCATTCTTTCTATTTTTGATTTCTAAATTGTTAGTGGAATATGATTTGCAAATTGTCCAAGTAAACTATATATATTTTTTTAAGGTGTATTATATGTTTTGCCAAAATATTATCTATTTATAGTTTTAGTTAGATTATTGTTTTTGAGAAAAACAATTCGCAAGAGTTAGCTACAATAATTGACTCAAGTTTTTTGTTTCTGTTTCTTATGCACTGGATAACTGATTGAACTAGAGTTTCTTTCTCTGTAAATTGATCATCATTGACCATTATAATATCTGTGGGGAATTGAATGTTTGTTCCAAGTCTTCCATTACGATTTAAAAGATTGGATATATTAGTTCTATTTTTAATTTATATAATCATTTTCTATCTTCATATAATGTTTCAGTGTTATTGGAATAGGACATTTGAATCATTAGCAAACAATTTTCATTCTGCATACATAAGGTTCTGTATTATTCTCCTATTTAACTGTGTTATCATTGTAATGGTTATTCTTATTGTTTTGCTATTATGATTTTGGTTCAGCCTTTTGTTCAAGTTGGTCTGCTGGCAGAATCTCAAGCAGTCAGATCCTTATCTTGCAAAACAGTATGTGGATATGCTTTATATATGCCAAGTTTGTTTAAATACTTCTCTTGCATTGACAATGAGGATTCATCACCCTCAACCCCACCAATAAAGATAAATAATTTATGTTTAATGGAATGTACTTTACTATTTCTGTACATAGATCTTTGCAAATTCTATTCGGTCAATCCTCAAATATAATATATGTGGGCTACCAATGGCCTATTCTTGAGTATGTGTACATGTGTGTAGAAATATAGAATCAATCTTGAACCTTTTACCTTATAGATTAAGCTGCTAAGATAGTTAGTATTGGACATGATGAGCCTTTAGAAGTAAGATCTTTGAGTTCAAAATAAAATTTACTTTCAGCATGAGGTAGAGTGGATTTGAGGCATTATCCATGCTTCAAGCCCCAAGGGTTGTTGTTATAATGGTGTTTTAGAGATATAAAAATAATTGCGAACCTTCACCCAATTGGTGTTTGTTTGCTTTGGCTTACCTGGTTCCTATTTGGGAGAGTCTATCCTTGAAAATTGTAACATTTTTGTCTTACATATTTAATCATTTACTTATTGTAAGGTTGGTTTCTCTTACTATCATGTCTGTGTATAGGGGAGAGTATGTCCTCTTACCAATCGTTTTTGTCCTAATCCAGTGTAGTGTTTCTCCTTATTAAAGAATGCTGGACATATGACTATGCATTGGCATTTAAGATTTAATGAAGCGTTCCCTCCAAGTTGTATATGTTGATAATTGAAATTCTTTGATAGTTACCGGTGAATATTTTTTAGAGGAGAGAAACAAATGTTTTCTTGATATGCTTGATTGATAATTTTAACCAGCAGAACGGATTTATTTATATACAAGAGAATTACAAAGATAATCAATGCAAAATCAATTTACAAGAGAATAATTAAGATGCCGCTGCTTCTTATTATGCATTGAACCTAGTTATATCAAGTACCCAAAAAACTTGGAAAAAATAAGAGCCAAAGAAGTTCTTATCTCCTAAAATTTTCCTATTTCCTACAAATTTACATTTGGAAATCATTTTGGCTTGACATTTTTACATATGCAAATTACTATTTGTTAGGGAGGGTAACCAGTGTGAGGATAAATTAGCTTCTTTGTGTTTAAGATTCACTATAAAGGGTATGATACTATGCCATCAAAGATTGTTTTTGATTTCTTTCATAATAGGTTTCAACTTCCAATTTAGAGTTGTTTAGTCTTTAGTAGGAAGTTTGCATTGTATTTTTGTACATGGGTTTGGTTTGGCCCCCATGTTTTCTGTTTTTTTTTTCTTTTTAATAAACTTTTCATGTGATGGCAAATTATTGGTGCGCGTTGGGATGTTGGCATAGCTGAGATGTTAAGATACATAGTGATGTCTAATATGAGTTTAAATAAAGAAATCATTACTTATGTATCACTCTTTTTGTAGTAATACTTTTATTGACATGGTAGCAACTTTTAGGTAAGTCGCCTTCTAGAGAGTGTTGACAATGATGACAAAGTTGCTGCAAGTGCTCGTCTAATTAAAGACTTCAACATATATCCTCTTTTGCTTGATTGCATCATAAAAGGGTAAGTAGAGAAAGTATTTTGAGTTCCTTATCATTCTGACTTTGCTGAAGTGTTTATTGCAATAAAATAATTATGCTGACTATCGCAATACCTAGAAATATAGGTAAGGGATATTTCATGCATTTTTCATTTCTAGTTGTTTTAGATGACATAATCCAAGATACAAATGAATATCAAATCTTAATTTTAATAAGAAATTGAATTGAAGCTTATGAAAGAAAGGTTGATATTGGTAATTTATAAAAGAGGGTTAAAACTTGTACTTGATGGTTCTCGTGACATCTATGAGATATTATATGAGATTCTAGTAATCGGAAGTAATCTTATATATACTGGGAACTAACATGAGATTATTTATTATTGATCTGATGGTACTTTGTTTACTAAGCATGAGTTCCTCTGTCTTTATGTATGATTATGTAAATCGAACAATTTCAGTTTACTAAGGACCTTACTCTTTCTTTCTGTAATTCTCCTACATTGTAGGGCTTGTGTACATAATTAAAACCCCTCTTCAGAAGACCTCCTTTGATTTCTAGGAATCCTTTGATTTTCTGGAACAACATGGGAATCAACAACATAAGCTGTTTAAACCCCTCTTTAGAAGACCTCCTTTGTATCCCTAATCTTTGTTGTTGGGTTTTTCATGCAACTTCCAACATTTATCCCTAGTGTGGCGTGGCTTCTTGCAATAGGTACACCATACTCCTTTTTTTCTCTCCATCTTTTTAAAAGGGCCTCCATTTTTTCAGTCTGTAACCATGTCTGTTGTTCTTTCAACAATCATTGTTGAATTTTCTGCAATAGCAGTCTCTAGCAATAGACTCTGACTTTCTTCACTCCAATGATTTCCATCAGTACATTGAGTCTTGGAACCTTCTCCTTTCCCAATATTTGAACTCTAACTTGATCATATTTGTGGTTTAGACCTACTAAGAAATCATACATTGTTAGGTTCCTGGGTTGGAAACCTAACTAGAACACACTCATAAGATAGAAAGAACAATGAAAGAATGGATTTCTGTATTGATATTGAGAACAAAGTACACTGATAGTGTTAATGGAGGCCTAATCCCCCTCTTAACCCTAACGGAGGCCTAATCCCCCTCTTTTGGCCAATGTCCAAATTTACAAAATAATCTTCAATAATCCCCCCTGACAACATAATAGAGTACTATTTATATAATTCCTCCTCCTTCTATCCTAAACCCATTACCCATTATACCCTTACTACCCTATATCTTAACATTACACCCGCTGTAGAACAACCTTGTCCTCAAGGTTGGAACCGAAAAACTTGATCTCTTGGCTCCTCTTTATTAGCTTGTTATTCTATGAAGGGAACCCACTGATTATGCCCTCCAATTCCAGTCAGGAGGCTTGGGTGGTGGTCGAGATGAGATACAGACTTTATAGGACCCTTTTCGTGTTTGCATTATTTCCTTGAAAGCGAGGAGCTTCTTATCCTTCCCTGTAAAATAGCTTCTTCTACCGTTCGACTCTCTTCTTCCTATCTTTATACCGTTCGTCTTTCTTCTCCCTATCTTTATACTGTTCGGTTTGCTTTCCCACGCTTTTCCACCGTTCGGTTTTCTTCTCCCTATCTTTATACCGCTCGACTTGCTTTCCCATGCTTTTCTACCGTTCGGTTTTCTCCTTCCTATCTTTATATCGCTCGGCTTGCTTTCCCATTCTTTTCTACCGTTCGGTTCCTCCCCTATATTGGTTAACACCGTTCGGTTTCGTCCTATAATGGGCAATACCGTTTGGTCCCCTATCGAACCGTGCAGCTTCATCGCTTTTGGCTGAATAGGGCCTCCAGCCGAGAGAGTGGACAACTCTGTCTGCTTCAGGTCTAATTCTGTCTCGGACCGCTCGGCAACCTCACCTGGGATATTGTGCTTGACCTCGGATCGCTCGACAACCCTCAATCTACCGTTCGGTTCTTTCCCGCTATCTTCAACCGTTCGGTCCGTGTTGGTTTTCTTCCTCTGCTCATCCCCCAAGCTCACCTAGTACGATTGGTTATCCTCCATGGGTAAACCCCGTTCCTCTACCAGTCCCTTGCCTATGAAATTGTGGCTGGCTCCACTGTCGGTCAAAACCATACCTGTTCGGCCCCCTACCAAACCGTTCGGCTTCATTTTTGGCTGAGTGAGGCCTCCAGCCGAGAAAGCGGACATCTCCATCTACTTCTGGTCTACTTCGGTCTCAGCTTCCTTAGTCTCCACCTCTTCATCCTCCTCCAAAATAACCGTCCCTCGATTCTTTTCTGGCCAATGATGGCCTGGACCGAACGGTCGTCCTGGATTATGGCGATCGGCTTCTGATCGCTCGGTAACTTTCAATAGGCATGTGTTATAGCGGTCGGCCTCGGACTGCTCGGCCACTAGCAATCGGCATGGGCTATAACGATCGGCCTCCGACTTTGTCACCTCATCGCTCGTTCGTTCCCAAGACAACTGGTCTTCTATGGCCTCGGACTGCTCGACAACTCTCGATCGGCCTGTGTTATAGCGATCGGCCTCGGACTGCTCGGCTAATCCCGATCTTACCTTTTCGCCTCCTTGTACATACTCTTCCACCGTCCCCATCCGTTTCGATGTTGCCAAACGCTCAACAATGGTTCCAAACCTTATCACCAGGGCTTCCTTCAAGCCATCCCAGGAATGATTTTTTGCTTTCTCCTTCCATGCTCTGAACCACTAGCCAGCGCTCCCCTCCATACTGATTTCAGCTAGGCGCCCCTTTTCCTCCTCCAATACCCTTCGTAACTCGAACAATTTCTCTGCGCAATTGATCCAATTCAGCGGATCGATCCCCTCGAAGACGGGTAGCGCCACCCATTTCTGCCAGCTGTTTTGCCCCTCAGTATGTTCGCCTTCCCTTCCTCCTTCGTCTTTCCGCCTCACCCTCTGATTCTCGTTGATGGACGCTTGGCCCCCATCTCCGTGTCCATCCTGGTTCCTGTTTCGTCCACCCAGCCTTTGCATGATTTCTTGTAAGTCTTGACGCATCGCGGCCGTTTCTTGCCGTATTTCTTCCATATTTCATCTGTATTCTGCCATGCTCCTTTCGTTGGTCCTCCTCTCCCAGGTATTGTCTCTTCCTTCCATCACGATTATCCTCCCTTCGATTCTATTCTCCCAAGCGGTAGCTTGCCCACCGTCTTGCTCCGCCTTTAATTGGATCCGGCAACTTCTCGATCTAGCAATTCTCCTGTTGATACGGCAGTGCTCTGCTTCTCGATCCGGCAGGTCGGATCAATTTGTTTGGTTCCTGGGTTGGAAACCTAACTAGAACACACTCAGAAGATAGAAAGAACAATGAAAGAATGGATTTTTGTATTGATATTGAGAACAAAGTACACTGATAGTGTTAATGGAGGCCTAATCCCCCTCTTAACCCTAACGAAGGCCTAATCCCCCTCTTCTGGCCAATGTCCAGGTTTACAAAATAATCTTCAATAATCCCCCCTGACAACATAATATAGTACTATTTATATAATTCCTCCTTCTATCCTAAACCCATTACCCATTATACCCTTACCACCCTATATCCTAACATACATCCAATATTGATTACATGATCTGATATATATTACATACCCTGATTCGATAATTTAGGAAACAAGTACAACCTATCCTAGGAATCAAATCCCTTAGTGCGGTATTGATATGTTAGTAATAAAACCAAGATATAACCAATATACAAAATGAAAACCAATAGAAATAAAATTTAAAACTACGTAAAATATATCGACATAATAAAATCTAAAACTTCTTAAAATACCTCGACAATAAACTGCCATTTAGCAGTAAATCAAGATTTCTGTAAAGGACCCTTTTTATAATGTGGTCAAGGGATGCATCTTAATAGGGTTCTATAATTACTTGTCCTTTATTTTACATATCTTTGTTTAGATCTCTTTGCTGGCTAATAATTACTCGTTTTTTTATAGTTCACTTACATAATAGATCTTTTGATTTCCTCACATGTGCAGTGATGAACAAGTTGCAGCCGTAGCAGCAGATGCAATAACAAAGTTAGCTGGTTTTCCTGAAGGCATGGTATGTGTTGAATATAGTGAAAAATAGGTACAAGAGTAATCTCCCTTGTGTAGTGTGTAGAATAATGGTAGAAAAGAAATAATAACAAATAAACAGAAGATAAAAGATAAAATATAGATATCTAATATATCTAACAAACCATGTTAAGAAGTGAACTTTAAGTCTAACTCAACACTACAAAATTGTGAAACTTTCAATACATCGCATCATGTCGAGGTATATACATCTTGAACGTGAGACTAGACATTAATGGGTGGTTCATGACCTAATAGTAAGTAGAACAATAGATTCAACAAACATCAAATTTTGTTATGATAGACTATAACCTGATTCTAATATCATGTTAAGAAGTGAACTTTAAGCCTAACTCAATCTTACAAAGTGTATTTATAATGAAGAGAATATGAGCTAAGCCTAAATTACAAATAATGATAGAAAAGAAATAATAATAAAGAGAAGATAAATGATAAATAGATATCTAATATATCTAACCNTTTTTCATTTCTAGTTGTTTTAGATGACATAATCCAAGATACAAATGAATATCAAATCTTAATTTTAATAAGAAATTGAATTGAAGCTTATGAAAGAAAGGTTGATATTGGTAATTTATAAAAGAGGGTTAAAACTTGTACTTGATGGTTCTCGTGACATCTATGAGATATTATATGAGATTCTAGTAATCGGAAGTAATCTTATATATACTGGGAACTAACATGAGATTATTTATTATTGATCTGATGGTACTTTGTTTACTAAGCATGAGTTCCTCTGTCTTTATGTATGATTATGTAAATCGAACAATTTCAGTTTACTAAGGACCTTACTCTTTCTTTCTGTAATTCTCCTACATTGTAGGGCTTGTGTACATAATTAAAACCCCTCTTCAGAAGACCTCCTTTGATTTCTAGGAATCCTTTGATTTTCTGGAACAACATGGGAATCAACAACATAAGCTGTTTAAACCCCTCTTTAGAAGACCTCCTTTGTATCCCCAATCTTTGTTGTTGGGTTTTTCATGCAACTTCCAACATTTATCCCTAGTGTGGCGTGGCTTCTTGCAATAGGTACACCATACTCCTTTTTTTCTCTCCATCTTTTTAAAAGGGCCTCCATTTTTTCAGTCTGTAACCATGTCTGTTGTTCTTTCAACAATCATTGTTGAATTTTCTGCAATAGCAGTCTCTAGCAATAGACTCTGACTTTCTTCACTCCAATGATTTCCATCAGTACATTGAGTCTTGGAACCTTCTCCTTTCCCAATATTTGAACTCTAACTTGATCATATTTGTGGTTTAGACCTACTAAGAAATCATACATTGTTAGGTTCCTGGGTTGGAAACCTAACTAGAACACACTCATAAGATAGAAAGAACAATGAAAGAATGGATTTCTGTATTGATATTGAGAACAAAGTACACTGATAGTGTTAATGGAGGCCTAATCCCCCTCTTAACCCTAACGGAGGCCTAATCCCCCTCTTTTGGCCAATGTCCAAATTTACAAAATAATCTTCAATAATCCCCCCTGACAACATAATAGAGTACTATTTATATAATTCCTCCTCCTTCTATCCTAAACCCATTACCCATTATACCCTTACTACCCTATATCTTAACATTACACCCGCTGTAGAACAACCTTGTCCTCAAGGTTGGAACCGAAAAACTTGATCTCTTGGCTCCTCTTTATCAGCTTGTTATTCTATGAAGGGAACCCACTGATTATGCCCTCCAATTCCAGTCAGGAGGCTTGGGTGGTGGTCGAGATGAGATACAGACTTTATAGGACCCTTTTCGTGTTTGCATTATTTCCTTGAAAGCGAGGAGCTTCTTATCCTTCCCTGTAAAATAGCTTCTTCTACCGTTCGACTCTCTTCTTCCTATCTTTATACCGTTCGGCTTTCTTCTCCCTATCTTTATACTGTTCGGTTTGCTTTCCCACGCTTTTCCACCGTTCGGTTTTCTTCTCCCTATCTTTATACCGCTCGACTTGCTTTCCCATGCTTTTCTACCGTTCGGTTTTCTCCTTCCTATCTTTATATCGCTCGGCTTGCTTTCCCATTCTTTTCTACCGTTCGGTTCCTCCCCTATATTGGTTAACACCGTTCGGTTTCGTCCTATAATGGGCAATACCGTTTGGTCCCCTATCGAACCGTGCAGCTTCATCGCTTTTGGCTGAATAGGGCCTCCAGCCGAGAGAGTGGACAACTCTGTCTGCTTCAGGTCTAATTCTGTCTCGGACCGCTCGGCAACCTCACCTGGGATATTGTGCTTGACCTCGGATCGCTCGACAACCCTCAATCTACCGTTCGGTTCTTTCCCGCTATCTTCAACCGTTCGGTCCGTGTTGGTTTTCTTCCTCTGCTCATCCCCCAAGCTCACCTAGTACGATTGGTTATCCTCCATGGGTAAACCCCGTTCCTCTACCAGTCCCTTGCCTATGAAATTGTGGCTGGCTCCACTGTCGGTCAAAACCATACCTGTTCGGCCCCCTACCAAACCGTTCGGCTTCATTTTTGGCTGAGTGAGGCCTCCAGCCGAGAAAGCGGACATCTCCATCTACTTCTGGTCTACTTCGGTCTCAGCTTCCTTAGTCTCCACCTCTTCATCCTCCTCCAAAATAACCGTCCCTCGATTCTTTTCTGGCCAATGATGGCCTGGACCGAACGGTCGTCCTGGATTATGGCGATCGGCTTCTGATCGCTCGGTAACTTTCAATAGGCATGTGTTATAGCGGTCGGCCTCGGACTGCTCGGCCACTAGCAATCGGCATGGGCTATAACGATCGGCCTCCGACTTTGTCACCTCATCGCTCGTTCGTTCCCAAGACAACTGGTCTTCTATGGCCTCGGACTGCTCGACAACTCTCGATCGGCCTGTGTTATAGCGATCGGCCTCGGACTGCTCGGCTAATCCCGATCTTACCTTTTCGCCTCCTTGTACATACTCTTCCACCGTCCCCATCCGTTTCGATGTTGCCAAACGCTCAACAATGGTTCCAAACCTTATCACCAGGGCTTCCTTCAAGCCATCCCAGGAATGATTTTTTGCTTTCTCCTTCCATGCTCTGAACCACTAGCCAGCGCTCCCCTCCATACTGATTTCAGCTAGGCGCCCCTTTTCCTCCTCCAATACCCTTCGTAACTCGAACAATTTCTCTGCGCAATTGATCCAATTCAGCGGATCGATCCCCTCGAAGACGGGTAGCGCCACCCATTTCTGCCAGCTGTTTTGCCCCTCAGTATGTTCGCCTTCCCTTCCTCCTTCGTCTTTCCGCCTCACCCTCTGATTCTCGTTGATGGACGCTTGGCCCCCATCTCCGTGTCCATCCTGGTTCCTGTTTCGTCCACCCAGCCTTTGCATGATTTCTTGTAAGTCTTGACGCATCGCGGCCGTTTCTTGCCGTATTTCTTCCATATTTCATCTGTATTCTGCCATGCTCCTTTCGTTGGTCCTCCTCTCCCAGGTATTGTCTCTTCCTTCCATCACGATTATCCTCCCTTCGATTCTATTCTCCCAAGCGGTAGCTTGCCCACCGTCTTGCTCCGCCTTTAATTGGATCCGGCAACTTCTCGATCTAGCAATTCTCCTGTTGATACGGCAGTGCTCTGCTTCTCGATCCGGCAGGTCGGATCAATTTGTTTGGTTCCTGGGTTGGAAACCTAACTAGAACACACTCAGAAGATAGAAAGAACAATGAAAGAATGGATTTTTGTATTGATATTGAGAACAAAGTACACTGATAGTGTTAATGGAGGCCTAATCCCCCTCTTAACCCTAACGAAGGCCTAATCCCCCTCTTCTGGCCAATGTCCAGGTTTACAAAATAATCTTCAATAATCCCCCCTGACAACATAATATAGTACTATTTATATAATTCCTCCTTCTATCCTAAACCCATTACCCATTATACCCTTACCACCCTATATCCTAACATACATCCAATATTGATTACATGATCTGATATATATTACATACCCTGATTCGATAATTTAGGAAACAAGTACAACCTATCCTAGGAATCAAATCCCTTAGTGCGGTATTGATATGTTAGTAATAAAACCAAGATATAACCAATATACAAAATGAAAACCAATAGAAATAAAATTTAAAACTACGTAAAATATATCGACATAATAAAATCTAAAACTTCTTAAAATACCTCGACAATAAACTGCCATTTAGCAGTAAATCAAGATTTCTGTAAAGGACCCTTTTTATAATGTGGTCAAGGGATGCATCTTAATAGGGTTCTATAATTACTTGTCCTTTATTTTACATATCTTTGTTTAGATCTCTTTGCTGGCTAATAATTACTCGTTTTTTTATAGTTCACTTACATAATAGATCTTTTGATTTCCTCACATGTGCAGTGATGAACAAGTTGCAGCCGTAGCAGCAGATGCAATAACAAAGTTAGCTGGTTTTCCTGAAGGCATGGTATGTGTTGAATATAGTGAAAAATAGGTACAAGAGTAATCTCCCTTGTGTAGTGTGTAGAATAATGGTAGAAAAGAAATAATAACAAATAAACAGAAGATAAAAGATAAAATATAGATATCTAATATATCTAACAAACCATGTTAAGAAGTGAACTTTAAGTCTAACTCAACACTACAAAATTGTGAAACTTTCAATACATCGCATCATGTCGAGGTATATACATCTTGAACGTGAGACTAGACATTAATGGGTGGTTCATGACCTAATAGTAAGTAGAACAATAGATTCAACAAACATCAAATTTTGTTATGATAGACTATAACCTGATTCTAATATCATGTTAAGAAGTGAACTTTAAGCCTAACTCAATCTTACAAAGTGTATTTATAATGAAGAGAATATGAGCTAAGCCTAAATTACAAATAATGATAGAAAAGAAATAATAATAAAGAGAAGATAAATGATAAATAGATATCTAATATATCTAACCAACCATGTTAAGAAGAGAACTTTAAACCTTATTCAATTCTATAAAAAGAAATAATAATAAAAGAAGATAAATGATAAATAGATATCTAATATATCTAACAAACCATGTTAAGAAGAGAACTTTAAACCTAATTCAATCTTACAAACCATGTTAAGAAGAGAACTTTAAACCTTATTCAATCCTACAAAAGAAATAATAATAAAGAGAAGATAAATGATAAATAGATATCTAATATATCTAACAAACCATGTTAAGAAGATAACTTTAAACCTAATATAATCCTACAAAATTGACTTGTAATGTGAGGTTTGCACCCACATATATACTTTAAATTGGCTTTATCTCTAGTTGATATGAGACTTCCAACACACTCTTATCACGCTGAGGTATATATATCTTGAGCATGGGACTAGACTTTAATAGGTGGTTCGAAAACGGTCCAATAGTAGGTGGAACAATAGATCCAACAAACGTCAAATTTCACTAAGATAGATTTTAACCTGGTTTTAATACCATGTTAAAAATAGACTTTAAACCTAACTCAATCTTACAAAATGTATTTATAATAAAGAGAATATGGGATAAGCCCAGATTACAAATAGTGAACAAAAAGAAATAATAATAGATAAGTAAAAGATAAAAGATAAAAGATATCTAAATATCTAATAGTATGCAAACACTTTTCTTATTGCAGATAAATGTCTTTCCCTTGTATGAAAGGAAAGCAGTTGAACCTTCTATGTGATTGCTTTCTAACATGATGTGCTATTGTAGGAAATTATCTTTCCATCTAGCAAAGTAGGTGAGATAGATCTGGAGCTTATAGCATCACAATGTTCATCACTGGTATGGTAATTTATCTGTTATGCATGGATTTGTATTTTTTGTTAAATATATTAACATGTAAACTATGAGATTTACCTTTAATACGTGGTAAATCTCTACCAAATGATTTGACCTATTGCTTCATTGAATTTGAGAGTAAATTTAAAGAAACTTCTGCCACTTGAGTTTATTTGGACTCTAGGTGTGGGCCTAGATTTAGTGGGAAGGCCCAAGGTTTAGATGGTCTTTGTTAAGAGGAACAAAGAAGGAAAGAGAGGGGCTGACATGGAAGTAGTGTAACAAAATTGACAAATGCATAGGGTTATGTGAGGACTATTGTAATTTGAGATAATATCTTTAGAATCTTCCTAATTAGAGGAAATAGATATATAATCTTTTATTTTATTTTACTTTCCTAGTTTTCCTATTTCCCTTTATTTTAGTTTCCTTATTTCCCTTTATTTTACTTTTCTAGTTTCCCTATTTCCCTTTTTAGGAGAATTAGATTATTACAAATAGAGAGTATCAGAATGTATTTTTTATGATTGAGAATAATAAACCAGTCTTATTTTCCACATGGTATCAGAGCTTGTCTGATCCGCTTCCGCTGTCTTTGTTGTCTGTCGGCGGCTGGCCGCCATGGCCACCGGCGGCCCCCTAAAAGTCTCTTCTTTAACACATGTTTTTAATGGGCTCCAATTGCCCCTAGTCAAGTTCTGCTTAGAATTCTAGCCTTTCTCCAATATTACCAAATACATTTGTTTTTTTTTATAATAGCTACACACAGTTGTGTTGTACTTCCAGTTAAAATCTGACCTAGTTATAAGCTATACTTCCAGATTTTAATCTGACCTGGCTATAAGCTATACTTCCAGAGTTCAATCTGACCTAGCTATAAGCTATACTTCCAGAGAGTTGAATCTGACCTAGCTATAAGTGTTCAATCTGACCTAACTATAAGCTATACTTCCAGAGAGTTGAATCTCACCTAGCTATATGCTAGACTTCCAGAATTCATCTCAGAATGGGTATTTTAAGTGATGCCCAATCTTTTTCGGCATTCTCATTGGCTGTCAATCAAAGATCGGAAGTCTCTTCTTCAGGGAACCATGAAAGGCCATTGCCTTCACTGATAATTACGCTGTGCACCACCACCGTCTGCCGCCGGCCACCGTCACAGTTTTAACCGATGACCAGCGGATTTGGATCTTCTCCTCGAGCGACGGTCAACCCTGCCGGAGTCAGAACCAGACTCCTCTCAAAGCGCCTCCATGCGCCGCCTTTCTTCAGCTGGTTTCGGGTGTGTGTTTGTCACGCGCCGTCATCCCGGTGTCGGAATCACACCGTGACGATTCTGGTCGACTTGCCGGACCTCCTCCTCTCTGTTCTGACCCTCCATAGCTGCCATTGCTACCATCTTTGTTGCTTCACTGAATCTTCATCTTCCTTGCAACACACTTCCGCGACGGGTTGACGAGGATCCATCTCAGCCGCGAGGAGGAGAGGGTGTCACCTCGTGTTTCCACTTCACAACTATTGCCCTTTGCTGTTCTCTCCGATGCAGTCAGCCGCCACCGCTGCAGTCAGCTGCCGTCGCCGCCGCTGTCGTTGCTCACTGCACGCTTCTGCATCGCCGGACCTCCCTCTCGTTTCTGTGTTCTGGTTTGGTGCGTGTGTTTTGATTTATGCCTCCACCAAATGACCAGGACCTTTCCTCCACCTATCACCAATGGGTTCTCACCTCGTTTCTATTTCTCAAGCAACAATGCTTCGTTCTGCTGCTACCACAGGCGGCGTAGGGGCAGTCAGCCGTCGGCGCAGTCAGTCGCTGTTACCGCAGTCAGTTGTTGCAACTTCTGTTTGCCGTGAGGGGAAATATTTTTTCAGCCCCTGCCGATAACTTTCTTCTTGGGCTAGAGTTTAGCCCGTACTTCTTGTGATACAGTGTTAAGTATCACCATTTTGGAGTAGTCCGGCACAGAACTTTGGACCTCCAAAAGTGTCTTCGATATTTGGTGTTTTTTTTTGGTTTCTACCATCACTAATGTGAAAGGCTCTCTTCACCGTCCATGCCTTGTTGTAACAACTCACTAAGAGTTGTTCTATGAGTCCGCTCGCTGATTTGGCTCGTTTGATGTTAAGGATTTTAGATTTGTCCCCAAGTACGGATCGGTTCTCACCCGTTCTTCCACCTTCACGTTTTGTCATTGACGTGCATATGCCGTTAAGTCGTGAGGGGAAGAAAAGTTTCAGCCGCTGCAGGGTAGTTAGTCCCATAAGGTTTGTTGCTGTTTCAGCCACTGTAGGATGGTTAAGTCCCTATAGGTTTGTTGCTGTTAGCCACTGCAGACAGTTCAGTTCCTGCAGGTTTGTTGTTGTTAGGGCAGTTAAGTCCCTAAAGGTTAGGATAGTGAAGTCCTTGAAGGTTCGTTGTTGTTAAGGCAGTTAAGTCCCTAAAGGTTCGTTGTTGTTAGGGCAATCAAGTCCCTAAAGGTTCGTTGTTGTTAGGGCAATCAAGTCCCTTAAGGTTCATTATTGTTCAGGGTGGTTAAGTCCCTACAGGTTTGTGGTTGTTAGCCTTTGAAGGCCTCCCATATGTTACTCATGGAAATCATGTTCTTGAAGTTTTGGTGCTAGTTCGCCCTCGTCCACTGCTGTCCAAGTTGAAGTTTCATGGTGTTAGTTCGCCCTCGTCCATTGCTATCCAATTTGGTTTATTGACGTTCTCTACAATTGAGTTTGACTATTCCAAGCTTGGTTTATACAATCTTGTATGATCCAGCTTGAGGGGGAGTGTTGTAATTTGAGATAATATCTTTAGAATTCTCCTAATTAGAGGAAATAGATATATAATCTTTTATTTTATTTTACTTTCCTAATTTTCCTATTTCCCTTTATTTTACTTTCTTAGTTTCTCTATTTCCCTTTATTTTACTTTTATAGTTTCCCTATTTCCCTTTTTAGGAGAATTAGATTATTACAAATAGAGAGTATCAGAATGTATTTTTTATGATTGAGAATAATAAATCAGTCTTATTTTCCACAAGGACTGTTAAGGAGTGACGAAAGGGTAATCATTTTTGTTAACTTTGCTTTGTAATAATATGATATGCCATTAGATTAATATTTCCCAATGTTGATTCACCCATTTTTATCAAATGGTCTACCAAAAGTCTCCCAAGTTTGATTCTTTTCAAAGGCATCTTTTCAATTATCTATAGTGCCCCTTGAACCTTTTAGAATAGGTCATCTTAAATAGAATTTATTAAAAAGCTTTTTGATAGGTACCCAGATTTATTTAAAACTGTAAAGACTTCCAATACAGTTTCTTGGATGTTCACCCAGAAAAACTAGACAGCTTTATTAACAATGAAACAAGCATATTAATCTAAATTGTTACACTAGCCCTGGTCCTTTGAGAGGACCAGACTCTCCCTAGCCTTCCCTTTATAAAACTTCCTAAAAAACTGCTAAAAACAATTGTCTACACAGACTTTATGAAAGTATGAGACAACAAAACCTACCCACGTTGCTTTAATTTCTCCTAATATAAACATTTCCCTTGAATTTATCAATACCCCCTCCATGAAATTTCACCTTGTCCTCAAGGTGAAAAGCAGGAAACTCCTTAACTCCTTATTGATGGTAGTAGCATCTTCCTAGCTGTTTTCAATGGGTGGGAGGTGTTTTCAATTGTACGAACTACCTTCTTTTTTCCTTATTTTGTAAACTGTATCAAACCTATCAACACCCCTTCATGAAGATGCACCTTATCCTCAAGGTGAAAGTTTGGAACTTCTTTATGAATGCAGGCAACAAATTCCCCTAACTCCTGAATTTCCTCTTCCAAAATAAGCAGCATATGGAGTTTATTTTTGCAAGTATGATTAGGCCCAAACTTTTCATCACACCTGAAGCATAATCCTTTTTTATTTTATCTTGCAATTCTTCTTGGGACAATTATCTAAATGGTGCCCCTCCTTGTTGAGTCCCAGCAGGAGAACTATTGATGGTGCTCAGACAGCCACTGCTCTCTCCACTTCCTCTGTTGGAGTTGGTAAAACCCACTAAATTGCCCCCTTCCTTTGAGTAACTCCAATTAGGTGGCAATTGTCTGTTGGTGTTACTTTGAAGTTGCATAGTGAAATTGTCTGTAGGAAAACTCATCTATCTTACCATAACAAGACCTGATCTTTGTTATCCTGTGGGAGTTGAGTCAGTTTATGCAAAATCCACATGTTGACCATTGGAATGCAGTGATTCGCATTCTTAGATATGTAAAAGGAAACCCAGGACAGGGATTGTTGTATGAGAACAAAGGAAACACTCAGATCGAAGGATATTGTGGTGTAGATTGGGCTGATTGTCCAATTGATAAGAGATCTACTACATGATACTGTGTTTTACTTGGAGGGAACCTTGTATCTTGGAAAAGTAAGAAACAAAGTATTGTTGCTCGATCTAGTGCTGAAGCTAAATACCAATCTATGGCTTTAACTACATGAGAACTTGTGTGGATCAGACAACTTCTTCAATAATTGAAATTTTGTGAAACTGAGCAGCTGAAACTGTACTGTGACAACCAAGCAGCCCTTCATATTGCCTCCATAGAAATTGATTGTCATTTTGTTAGAGAGAAGTTGTTGTCCAAGGAACTTGTTACAGAGTTTGTCAACTCTAATGAACAACTCGGGGACATTCTGACCAAATCTCTAAGGGGCCTAGAATCCAATTTATATGTTCCAAGTTTGGTGCATATGATATATATGCTCCAACTTGACGGGAAGTGTTGAAATGTAATGTATTTTTCTAGTAGGCTTTTTAGGAGCCTTTTGTTTTTCCTTTGTATGTTGAACTACTATCCCTTATAAATAGAATAGTATGATGTATTAGGGTTAAGAGAACATTAATAATAACATTTTAGTTTCTCTCCCAACTCTTTTAAGTATAGATGTTAACTCTTTTAAGTATAGATGTTAGGACATAGGGTATTTGGATATAATGGGAAAAGGGATTAGGATAGGAGGGGAGGAGTTGTATAAATAGTTGTTTGTTTAGTGGAGGGGGACTTTTGGCAGTTAGATTGTTGACAGGCTTTGTCCTGTGGAGGGGGTTAAGCCTTTTGTATCTGTAGTTGCACAGACCATTCTTTTGTGAATAATACTCAGTTTAATTACTTTGTCTCTATTGTGTGCCTGTTGTACGTGTGGTGTTTGGAGGTTCTTGATTAGGTTTCTCTTTCGGAAACCTATCATATGACCTTTCTTGTTCTTGTCTTTCCTCTCATTCATTGTATATAAACTTCCAATGTTTTGATGGTGGAGACTAGATATGATGGTTCTAACACAATTATCTTAGAAGATGATAGGACCTAAGGTAAAAGGATAGAAGGAAGAGGAAATGAGAGAGTAGTTAAGAAAGGCAGGAAAATGAGAGAGCAGTTAGGAAAGGCGGGATGGGAGATCTTATATAAATAGAGTTCTATTCATTGTTAGAGGGGAGTTTTTGAGTATTATTTTGTAAATCTGGACTTTGGCCAGAAGAGGGGGATTATGCTTCTGTTAGGGCTAAGAGGGGGATTAGGCCCCATCAGCGCTATCAGTGTACTTTGTTCTCAATATCAAAATACAAAAACCCATTCTTTCATTGTTCTTTTAATTACTGTGAGCGTTGATAGTTAGGTTTCCAACCTAGGAACCTAACAAATTGGTCCGACCTATCAGATCTATATCAGAGGAGCAAATGGAGCGCGTGTGAAGAAGAAGAATGGAGGGACAATTGATGGCGATTGAGTCAACGGTAGAGGAATCGAAGGCGGAGTTGCGAGCGATGACTCTCGCATTCCAATGAGCTTCAGGACGTCGCACCAGGAACCAGCCTAGGAGATCCAAAGGATGTGGTGATTTCGTTAACGCGGGACGCGAATGACGACCATTGGAAAACTCAGAGGAGGAATCAGAAGAAGACAGAGGAGAAGTTCGACGCAGTTGGAGGAAGCGCGTTGAACTACCTACATTTGACGGTGCGGATCCTACTAGCTGGATCGCATAGGCAGAGGAATTCTTCGAGTTACAAGGGGTATCGGAGGAGGAAAAGGTGCGCTTAACCGATATCAGGATGGAGGGGAGCGCTGGCTACTAGTTCAGAGCCTGGAAGGAGAAAGCCAAGAATTGTTCATGGGATGGTTTGAAGGAAGCCCTGGTGATAAGGTTTGGAACCATTGTTGAGCATTTGGTGGCATTGAAATAGACGGGGACAGTGGACGAGTATGTACAACACTTAAAGATATTGATGGGTCGAACGAGGAGGGTGCCGGACGAGCAGCTGTTAGGATATTTTCTTGCAGGATTGCAAGAGGACATCCGGAATCAAGTCCGACCACATAACCCGCAGGAATTAATGGTGGTGATGCAGATGGCAAGGGATGTTGAGGAGTTCCAGGGAGGCGCAAAGGTGGGGAACGGGAGCGGGATTGAAGACCAGTCATCTCGGGGACGAACGAGCGGAGAGGTGACACTGTCCGAGGCCAATCGTTATAACCCAGGCCGATCAAGGGTTGCTGAGCAGTTTGAGGCAATGTGCTATAGCCCAGGCCGATCGGGAGTTGCCGAGCGGTCCAAAGCAAATCACCCTGGCCGATCGGGAGCCGCCGAGAATGTGGGGTTAGTACTGAACAGCTAGAAACTGCCTTACTCAGAATTCCTGAAACGGAGAGAGGAGGGAAGGTGTTTCAGGGGACCGTGCGCTCCAAGCAACTATTGCCTGGAAAGGAGTCTACAGATGGTTAGGATGGCGAAGGATGAAGAGGAGGAGACTGAAGGAGCTGAGACAGAATTAGACTTGAAGCAGACGAAGTTGTCCACAATTGAAGATCTTGCAGCAACTCTGCCAAGGGTTGTTAACGCGAGCCGAACGATCAAAGGCAAGGGGGAGGAGCCGAACGGTATAAAGATAGGGGGAAGAGAGCCGAACGGTATAAAGATAGCGGAAGAGAGCCAAACAGTATAAAGATAGTGGGAAGAGAGCCGAACGATATAAAGATAGTGGGAAGAGAGCCGAACGATATAAAGATAGTGGGAAGAGAGCTGAACGGTAGAAGAAGTTATTTTTGAGGGAAGAATAAGAAGCTCCTTGCCTTCAAGGAAATAATGCAAACATGAAAATGGTCCTAAAAGTTTTGTCTCTCATTTCGACCACCACCCAAGCCTCCAGACAGTAAGTTGCAGGTAGTAGCCAGAGGGTTCCCTTCCTATGATAAGACCATATCACAATGCTATGGGCTCAACTTCATTGTTCCAACCTTGAGGACAAGGTTGTTTTGTAGCAGGGTGTAATGATAGGACCTAAGGTAAAAGGACAGAAGGAAGAGAAAATGAAAGAGCAGTTAAGAAAGGCGGGAAAATGAGAGAGTAGTTAGGAAAGGCGGGATGGGAGATCTTATATAAATAGATTTCTATTCATGTTAGAGGGGAGTTTTTGAGTATTATTTTGTAAATCTGAACTTTGGCTAGAAGAGGGGGATTATGCCTCCGTTAGGGCTAAGAGGGGGATTATGCCCGTTAGGGCTAAGAGGGGGATTATGCCTGGTAGGGCTAAGAGGGGGATTATGCCTCCGTTAGGGCTAAGAGGGGAATTATGCCTCCGTTAGTGCTAAGAGGGGGATTATGCCTCCATTAGGGCTATCAGTGTACTTTGTTCTCAATATCAATACAGAAACCCATTCTTTCATTGTTCTTTTGATTACTGTGAGAGTTGATAGTTAGGTTTCCAACCCAGGAACCTAATAGAAGACTTGTTGTCACCAAGGAGAATTGAACCTCCTTCAAGTTTTGTAAACTCCTGGTACCATATGAAATGAACATCTTAAGTCCACTATCCACCCAAAATCTTCAGTATTGCTCCACACCATGAACACCGTAACCATCTTCCACTAGAGCTACATCACCAAACATAGATGGTCCATTAGACTGTTTGCCAAACCTAGATGCTCTGTCAAGTTTATTATCCTTCTTCTGCCTCTTTGAACCAAAAAGTTTATTATCCTTCTTCTGCCTCTTTGAACAAAACCTTTTGGTGTGACCTTCCTTCTTATGATAGTAATATCTAATGGACGATGTATTTCCACCTATTCGCATCCTTGACCTCTTTCTACCTCCTTTATTATCAATGATAGACGATCTACCCCTTGTTACAAGGCCATCTCCAGCACCGTATGCCTTAACTCCAAATTTCTCGTTCAACTTGTTTGAGCTCAAAGTTGACTGAACCTCGTCAAGAGAGAGTCTCTCTTCCATACAACAGGTTTCCTTGAAATGATCATACATCTTAGGCAATGAACACAATAACAACAACGCTTGATCCTCATAATCAATGTGCATATGAATATTCTTTAGAAGATTCTAATGAGGTTGTCAAAAGTGGTCTGCTGAGATTCTGACAAGCAGAGGACAACACGTTTGACATACTCCTGTTTGCTGGAGTAGACAGGTGCCTGAGAGCGCTTGCAGAGAATCAGGCCATGCAACTTAATGGGTTGGATTGTGCTCCCCAAGGTACAGCAAACCCTAGCTTAGAGGACAAAAAGCATGACAGACAGTGGCCGAACAGGCAAGAAGGGGGATAGAGTGGGATCTTACCTGATTTGTTATCAACTTGAATTTAAGGGATGACCAGAAATCAGTGACTTCTGCTTCTCAGCTGACGGGCATTATACAAATATTGGTGACTACAAGTACATGCTAAAAGGAAAGTCTACAACATGACACTTTAGCCCTTAGGCTGGGTACACCCAAAAAGCAGCTTTATAAAAATTGTACAACAAATAATGACAAACAACTATTTTAATGCATGCATTACAGGGAAACAATTTCTTCCTGTTAAAACTGTTTATGAAGAGTGTTAAGTATAAAAGAACTTTGTAATAAATGTTCAGAATAAACATGCATGTAATCTGTTTGTCATTTACGCACTGGAAAGATTTTACAATATAATCACTTGATTGTTAACATGTGATTTTAGTTATTCACAAATATTGCAAAATAAATAAAGGGTATAGTTTTGATGTTCCCCATTTATCAAGAAAATCCCTTGATAAAATGCATAATGTAGGGTTATTCTTGACACCGTGTGCATAATGGACTAAATTTGCTACTGTATAACATTTTACTATTCTGATTCAGGGTCGAGTTCGTGTACTGGCACTGGTGGTGAAGCTTTTTTCTGTATCTAGGTCGGCAGCATCCACTGTCTATAGCTTAAATCTACTTAAATTGTTGGAACAAGAACTCAGAAATGCTGACGATACCCTTGTAACTTTAAGTGTATTGGAACTTCTATATGAGGTTACTATTCCCTCCTCTTGTTATCATTGATTTTAAAAATGTATAATTATCCTTTTACTTGTACATGTGTTTATATTTATTACTTAATTATAATATCAAAGTTACATCCACAGGACAAGAAAATGTTAGAAACACTATCTAATACTGTTAGACCGTTATTAGTCTATGAGAGAAGAAAGAAACATAAGCTCTCTGTATTCTTTCTGTTGATTGAAAGTGAATAAAAGAAGCATTTCTTTGTCTGAGTGTGTGTTTGAAGAGTAAGGAGTGAGTTTTTCCTAGGTTCTTGGATAAAGAACCTAACAAATACACTGTTTTAACACACTCCCACCCATTGGTTAAATTCATTTGAAATAAAATTTTGTAGGTCTCACCTATTCAATGAACTACTTTCATGATTTTGAGGTTTCAATAAATTTTATCCTATAAGAGTGTTACTAGCACCTAAGGGGATTTAGCTTGACAATGATGTTAATAAATATCACGAGGTCTCATTCTTACCTGTTAAAAGTTATTTTCAAGGTTAGACTTATTTGATTATTTGTATTGCGAGAGAAAAAAAATGCAAGTTGGGTTTAATTTTATAGACAATCATGTTAATAACCATCACAGTAGCTCTCACTATTACCCTTTTAAAGTTATTTTCCTATTTAGAACTGTTTGATTATTTGTATTGTGAGAGAAAAAAGCATGTTTGGTTTAATTTATAGAAAATTGGGCACAGACCCCCCTCTTCCCAAAAACTTTTGTCTATTACCATTTTGTAACGGGTGACTAAAGTGTTTGTTCCCAAACATTTTCACTCACTTGACATCCTCCCCCTTATAAACTGAATTTTAAAATGATTGCATGCAAAAGTGATTCCATGGATAAACCAAACCACAATCATCCAATTAAACAAGTAGCAGATACCAATCTCATTACATGCTCATATATACAATCTCATTTGTGTGCATTGGATGCAGTTGGCATCGATCGAACATAGTACAGAATTTTTGTCAAAGACTAGCCTCTTTGAATTGCTTTCGTCAATGATTAGGTAATGATTTATGATCTTGTAGAGAATTTTTTTTATTCATCTAAGGGATGTTGTGAAAGTTTCCTTCCTGATAAAAGCGGACATTCCTTTTCTTGACGCTAGCAACAATTCTGTGGAATCAATTTTAAGATCAAGAGCAATTATGATATGTGGAAGGCTTGTGCCCAAGGACATTATACACTCCTTCACGGACGAACCTTGTAAGTGCTGCACTTCTATCCATTTCTCTCTGTTATTTGTTGGAAGATATTGGAAATTGATTTCATCTTCAGACAAAATTCAAAAACCTTAAATCCGTCTAATCGAAACTAGGTTTTGTATCTAATGGGTCACTTGCTGGTTTGGTTTGTCAACTGGCTGTTTACAAGCATGATATGTTTCACAGTTTGATACCTATTTTCAAAGAGCAAGAAACTACTAATATGATGCTACCTTGCAGGGCTTGTTCGTCTTCATTTTAAAGTGTTCATATACTATCCACACAATTTGATAATTTGTTATGAAAGTATATTGAAACTTTTAACTAGTGTATATTTTTTTGTGCTATGAAATTGATAAACTCAGGTGTTAAAGCTGTTATTGCATCTATTGACGGTAGACTTCAGTCATTGAATCCTTCAGATATAGATGAATGTGAAACTGCACTTGAATCATTGGGTCATATAGGATCATGTAAGTATGTCACATTAGTGCCTGCTTTTTAGCAAATTTGTTTTTGTATCTATTAGGAAAAGTGATTTTAGTTGATTAAATTACTTAGGTCTCGTTCTCAGAGTTATCAATCTCAGATAAGAATATTAAGTGAACCCCAAAAAGCGCTATGGTAAGTTAGTGGCTTGATTGCCATTATGACTTTTACAAGTATAAAATAATTTGTAATGCATATATAAATGCTCAAACATAAAAAATACTCCTAATTAAAGACACATTTAATTAATAATTAAGGTTTATAATCCTAAGCCTAATGCAGAAATTAATAAAAGGAAGAGTCAAGTAATATAAAATAAACAGAAAGTATAGCAGGAAGGGGCAACATAGGTTACCAATCTCAACACAACAGTACAGAGAAAACAAGACAAACCTGTTGAAACGAAATGTAATAAAACAGAGAATAACATAGAAGAGACCATACACTGTGTGCTGGAGTTGCACAGGGTGTGGATTGGGCAGCAAACGTTGTGCTTGTTCCTATGTAGTCACTGCTGTATAGGAAACTGTACCACTATAATTTCCTCAGAAATCTGGATCCTTGACAAATAAAAGGGCCTGGTCTGACCCTGCATGGGGTGTGCAAATGGATTTGAAAAGGGAAGAATATGGTTTTGGTTCCGGTAAGTAAAGAGAGGAGCTGAAATCTGAGGATTACCACTTAGGGCCAACTTTTTTTTTTTTTTTTTTTACTGTGAGAATTGCTTGAGATGGCTTTGATTTGGTATAAGAGCAGTATGATTTTTTTGCTGCTGTTTGTGACCAGAGACTGCTCTGTAGTAACACAGAAGGCCAAGTGGGGTGCAACATGATGCAATGCTGTTGGGTGCATGTGATGTAATGCTACTATAGCGGTGCTATCCTGTGCTAAGTTACAAAGATCTCATCTTGAATCTGACAAAATATATTGTTTCTGCTGTTTTATGTTTTAAACCAACATAACTCCTATTGCAGAAGTTATGTATGTATAAAATTATATATTGCATTACATTCATTGAAGGCATGACAAATAACAAACTGGTAAACTACTCAGACTTCAACAAACCTTTCCAATCCATTCTAGGTTTTAAGCCAACTCAACCTCACCTACTTATATATTATAATTTGATCATATCTCTAGTTGATGTGTAATCTCCAACAAACTTCACATTGAAGATATTGTCTCCATTACTCGTATGTATGTTATGAATAGTTGATTTATAATATCACTGTAACATATAGATATGCATAGATGATTTTGTAGCATATCCAAACTACTTATTATCAATTTATATGTCCTTATTGATAATTGTTTTAATAAGAACTTCTTTGGTTCTTACGTACTACAAATTTCAATTTATGATTTTGTGATCATAGCTACCCAGGGAGCCACATTATTACTCTCAGGTTCATCACCTGCTGCAAGACATGTTATAGATGCTGCTTTTGAACGACAAGGGCCACAAGGACATGGAAAACAGCTGGTTAGTGAACTAGATTCGTCTTCCCCTTTTCTTTTCAAAGTAATTTAAATATCCTAAACTACTATAATTCGATACTCCCCAGTCCCATTTTCTATTGTTTAGTTGTGTTAAACTCTAGGAAAGAGAGAAATATTGAACTGAAACCATATGTTTATGAAATAACATGCGTGCTTCAACTATATTGAGAAAAAGAAATCAATATTGAACTGAAACCGTATGTTATTAAATAACATCGCTGCTTCAATTATATTGAGAAAAAGACATCAGTACAATAACAAATAGAGGAGATTCGGTATCCTCTAATAAGAAAGATATGATATAGGAATAAATAAAAATGTTCATAATAATACATATATAATCTATATATTCTTGATTGCAAAGGGTCAACTCATTATTTCTGTAATTGTAACAATATTCTTGATTATATAGGATAAACTCTTTATTTTAAGTGGGCATAGGTTGAATTTTTCAAAATCTAGTTTTGATCCATTCTAGATCCAATAAAATAGATTAGATCTATAATCCATATCCTCTTTAACCAAATCAACCAGATTTGGATTTTTTTCCAATCCATGTTTAATTGGATTAAATCTAGATTGAATTTGTTGTCAATTAGATGAAATCCAATGAGACCAATGTAATATATGTGACGATTAGATCTATTAAACATGGGTCAGGCTAACTTATGTTGACCTGGGTCTAGTTCACTTGTCTCGATTTAGGTTTGGGTCGCCTCTCCTTAGCATCAACCAGAGTTCGAGTCAACATGGGCTCAAACTGACTTGTCTTGTCGTGAGATCATGCTCACTCATTTCAACCTTAGACTTAGATCAACTCATCTTAACCTTCGACCTAGGTTGACTCATCTTAACCTTCGACCTAGGTCGACTCGTCTTAACCTTCAACTTGGCTCATCCTTCGACCATGAGCGACTCAGCTCGATCTTTGAATCAAGTCGACTCAGCTAGACCTTTAGCTAGGGCAGACTCGGCAGGACTTTCGACAAGGGTTGACTCAACATGACCTTCCGTTAGGGCTAACATGGCACGACCTTTTTGTTGTGGCCAACTCAACTGGATCTTTGGCTTGGGTTGACTTGACTCGACCTTTTGTCAAGATTGACTCATTACAACCTTAGGTTGGTGTTGACTCAACACGACTTGTAGTCGAGGTTGACTTGACACGACTTACGGTTGGGTCAGACTCAACTTGACCATCAGTTGAGGCTATCCCAACAATCTTTGGCCTAAGCTAACTCGGGCTGACTCAACTTGACCTTCAGTTTGGGTTAACTTGACTGGATTTTTGGTCGAGGCTGACTTGAGTCGACCTTTAGCTCGGGTTGACTCGACTCTACCTTTGGCCAGAGTCAACTAGGCACAAAATTTAGCTAGATTGACTCGACCCGACCTTAGTTAGGGCAAACTAGGCACAACCTTCAATTGGGGCAAACTCAGCACGACCTTCGATCGGGGAAACTCCCTTAACCTTTACCCGGGCGACTCGACTTGACCTTTAGCTTGGGCCAACTCGACTCAACCATGGATTAAGGCCGACTTGGCTCGACTTTCGACTGGCTCGGCTCGACCTTCGACCGTGGTTAACTTGGCTTATCCTTTAGACAAGGTTGACTTGTCTTGACCTTTGGTGGAGACTGACTTGGTTGGGCTGATTAGGCTTGACAAGTTTTGCCGACTCATTTGGACCTTTAACCTGGACCATTTCGACTTGAACCTTCAACCTAGGTTGACTAACTTGACCTTTCGGTTTGGGTCTACCTAGTTCGACCTTCGATCTAGGGTCAATTTGGCTTGATCTTGTCCTCATGCTATCTCAACTTTATTTTGGAGTTTCAAAATCCAGTCCAAATTCTATTAAGTGGATTGGATTTTAAATCAAAATATGTTTATTTGAATTTGGAAAAAATCCATTTAAATAGACTTAAAGTGATATGCATTTGGATTATTATAGATTGGATTTTTTGCCCATCCCTATTGAGTCAAATGAGACTTCACCACCCCTTGCACTGGGCTTTGGAGGTCCTGACAACCTTGTCTCTTGTTGCAGCAAGAGGGCTTTCCAAGCAAGGCACGTGGGATACACATGTTGATACTGGTGGTTGCATGTGCTAGTGTGCAGGCAAACTCTGTTTGACGAGGCAGCAAAAGTAAGACTCCCAATATTGGGAGTTTTGATACCAACTTCAGATACGTAAGGAAATATAAAATTATTTATTTTATTAATAACAATCACACTAATTACATTCTCATCATCTCTATTTGTAATAATTAGATCCTTTAAAATAAGAAAAAGATGAAATGAGAAGGAAGAATCTAAAGATATGTTTTACTAATTATCATGGAAATATTGAAAATATTTTTATCCAGATAATCAGCTACTTACAACACAACAATGTATTTCTAAGATAGCATGAGTTTTTTATTTATATTGAGGGAAAGAAATAAATACAATAAATAGAAGTGATTGGATTTCCTCCAATAACAAAGATATGATATAAGTATGTTCCTAAAATTCATATACAATCTAGATATTCCTGATGATGTAGTAGCAATTCCTTATTTCTATAACTATAGCAATATTCTTGATTTTATAGATCAGCTCCTTGTTTTTATAATTATACTTGCTTAGGAAACTTGAAGGAGTGTATTGCCCTGAAAGATGAAAGTATATGAAGCTGTATTATTCATTGATGCAAATTGCTGCAAGCAATGTTGGGTAGTAATGTTCTGAATCTTGACAGTGTTGATTCCTAGGTTTACAGCTTCTATTTAGGGTTTCATTAGAATAACTAGTTTATTGTACCATGTTTCCTTGTCCACTTCAATCTCTGTGATGCATTATATGCTGATAACTTATCTTCTATGTTCTAACTTCCATGGTTTCTTATGCGATCACAGGCTGCATTACATGCTCTCGGAAACATCTCGGGAGAAACCAGATCTAAGAATAGTATTATACTCAATGCTGAAGCAGAAGAAAATCTGCGACGCTTAATTTATGAAACAGCTACTAGAAGTTCAAAGCTGACTCCATCGGTTGCCTTTTTACATTCTTTTTAGTTTCAAATGCTTTTTATAGCTTAATTATTTTGAAGTTTTACTTATAATGATTTGGTTTCTCTTTGAAGTGAAGGGACTGGGATATATGTGAAACTTTATCTAACTGTAGGTTTGTGCTAACATAATCATGACTACGTGCTAAAAACCAAGAAACGTATTACACTGATCAGTTTTATAGTGTAATGCTTCCTATATTTTGTAGTAATATTTTTACTCAAGAACGCCCACTTTTGTTTCTTTCCTTTGATAAATATATATATATATATATATATATATATAAATTTATATATATATATATATATATATATATATATATATATATTATAATTTAGAACATGTATCATTATCCCTATATGGGAAGTAGTTTAAGATAAATGTTAGCTACAAAATGAAAGTTCATCTTCATATAATGTTTGTTGAGTTGACTTGCATGAGAGCTATTTAATTAAACATTGAAATACTACCTTCTCACCAAGTTCTTGCAATTTGCAGGGTCTGTTTCGGTCAGTACTGCAGCAGGATGCAGAAATACGTCTAGCGGTGAGACATTAATATGAACTTTCATATTGTTAGTATATTTGCACTAAATAAATTAAATTTTATTCAAAAAGAAACCATTAACTTAAATTTAACATTGTTTAAGTAATGATTATATTTATTAACATTACTCATAAGTTAAAAGAATTGAACCAATAGATGTGACTTACATTGTTAATTGTTGTAAAATGATGACAAAAAATAATAAAAACCACGAACAAAGATTTTTCGAGACATGAAAATCTATTATTCTTAAGAACTTATTCATGGTATTGCGTAAGCCCAGACTAAACAGGAACTTTTCAGAAATTTCTGAGATATTAGAACTAGCAAAAAACTCTAAAAAAACTAAAATAATAAACCTAGGATATTATAAGAAAAAAAAAGGAGAGAAAGAAGAAATTAAGAGAAAATAGGAGAATGAGAGAAAAGTGTATATTTTGGAGATGATCACAAGTCTCTATTTATAGAGTTGGAAAAGGATTAAAATCAGCCCATCATGGATGAATCCCATGACTTGCGGAACCTGCAGATTTTTGTGAAACTGCATTGACTAGATCTTGTGTGAAAGAAGCAACGTTTTAAAAGGAAAACGTTCATCCAGTAACTAACTTTTGCAATATTGATATAACCATCCCCGTATATTGTAAAAAAATAAAAACATTAACTAAAGATATAGAAAAGAAATATCTTGGGTTTCATAAGATGTAAAGCTAGTGTAGTAAGCTATATGATCGAGCAACTTAGTATAGCAAGGTACAATATAATTGGTATAGCAAGGTATATGAACCAAAGACACTTGATGTGTGTTAGAGGTTTATCAATCACAATACACCCTCACAATCCTTGTTATAGCTGTGATGCTCTTACTGGGTCATGCGTGTGTCCGATATTCATGAGTGCTTTAGAAATCATGCCAAAATCTCATGCAAGCGACTCTACTTGACTAGGTGATTTCATCAAGTGTATGTTGCAAATCATACACTACCCATAAGGAATATGAAGATCATTTAAATCTTTGTTTAAACTAAAATTATTTTACCAACCTCTCAATAATGCAGTCTCTAGCATTTTCACGCACACCATGGGAATGAACATATTTGATTTAAGTCAGAAGATTTGCTAGATTCTGTTCTGACTTCACATAATCAATCAAAATAGTTCCACTCTTTAGCAGTTGCTTAACCAAATTGTATCTCAATTGTATATGTCTGTTCTTTCCATTGTATTTCTTGTTTTTAGCTATAGTTATTGTCGATTGGCAATCACAATGTATTGACACCGATGGGGTTGGTTTCATTCCTAGTGAAATGTTCGCTAAGAAGTTTTTCAACCACTCAGCCTCACTACCAACCTTCTAAAGAGCAACAAACTCAGATTCCATTGTTGATCTTGCAATAATTGTTTGTCTAACTGGTCTCCATGTAATTGCACCATCCCTAAGTGTGAATACATAACTACTAGTGAATTTTGTCGCATCTGAATTAGAGATCTAGTTAGCATCATGGTACCCTTCTAATACAACGAAAAATTAATATAATCAATGGCATAATTCATTGAACCTCTTAAGTATCTCATAAGTCTTGCAAGTGCATCCCAGTGTTTCTAATTTGGACATTGAGTGTACTTACTTAGTCTACCTACTACTGCATAAGCAATATCAAGTTTAGAAAAGTTCATCAAATACAATAAGCTCCTAATTATCTGGGCATACTGAGGATGAAATATAGATTCTCCTCTATTTTTCATTAATCTAGAGTTAGCATCATAAGGTGTACTCATAGGTTTGAAATTATAATACCCAAACTTATTAAGAAGTTTCTCCATGTATTGTTCTTGGAATAGTAATATACTATCTCCTTTCCTTATGATTTTAACAACTAAAAATATTGGCTTCATCCATGTCTTTCATTTCAAAGTTCAATCCTAGAAACAATTTAGTTCTAGTGACAATCTCATTGTATGTACCAAAAATTAACATGTCATCCACATATAAACATATAATGACACAATCACCATTTTTAGATTTAGAGTACACATATTTATCAGCATATAATGACACAATCACCATTTTTAGATTTAGAGTACACATATTTATTAGTTTCACTAGGTGAAAAACTATCACATAACAATACATTATCAATTTTTTATGTCATTATTTTAGTGCTTGCTTCAACCCACACAAGGATTTTAAAAGTTTGCATATTTTATTCTCTTGACCAGGTACAACACACCCTTCAGGTTGAGTCATATAAATTTCCTCTTCCAAATCACCATTCAAAAAGACATTTTTAATATCCATTTGGTGTATTATTAGCTTATGGATAACTGTTAAGGTTAACAACACTCAAATGGAGGAAAGCCTAGTCACTAGGGAAAAGGTATCAAAATAATCTGTTGGGTTTTTGAGTAAAGCCCTTAGCTACTAACCTTGCTGTATACTTATAGATCCATTAGGGTGATACTTTTTCTTAAAGATCAACTTACAACCAATGGGTTTTGCTCCTTTAGGTAAATCTACTGAGGCCCAAGTATTATTTTTCTGAATTGATTCAATTTCAATCCTAATGACCTTAGCCTATTGTTTTGCATCGAAGCATTAATAGCTTCTATAAAGCTACTTGGATCATAATCAACAAGATAAGTATAAAAGTTCAGTTGTTTCACTAACCTTTAAGAGAAACACATGTTTAAAAAATTCGGCTTTTTTCGTCTCCACTCTAGAACTACTCTCAAGTATATCATTTTTAAGAACTAAAAACATATAGGCAGCACTATGTTCAGTATAGCCTAAGAACATGCAATCAAATGTTTTAGAGCCTATTTTCCTTTTCTTAGGATATGGTAACATCAAATTAACTAGGCATTCCCATACTCTTAGATATTTAAGGTTAGGTTAATAACCTCTCCACAACTCATAGGGAGTTTTACTAGTTTTTTTTATAAGGTATACTCTTAGATATTTAAGGTTAGGTTAATAACCTCTCCACAACTCATAGGGAGTTTTACTAGTTTTTTTATAAGGTATTCTATTTTGTTGAAAGCACATAGTAAGTTTGAGAATAACTTTCCCTTTTTTCAAATAACACTTTAACCCTCACTTTTTTCAATAGTGTTACAGAGATTAAATTAACTCTTATTGATGACAAGTGTAGCACATCACTCAAGGACAAAGTCTTTCTAGATGTAAGTTTGAGAATAACTTTCCCTTTTTTCCAGAACAAGAGTTGTCCTGGAATCACTGATATAAACATGTTCTTCTCCATCCCCTATACGAAGGTAAAAGCATTTCTGTTTGCACAAATATGTGTGGTAGCACCAGAGTCTACCATCCATTTGCTGACATTGGTAATCACATTTACTTGTGAAATGACCGAAGTGATAATATCATCTCCTTCAGTTATATTTGTCCTAGGATGGTGATAATTTCTGATCAGAAGTTCTGAAACAAATTCATCCGATAGAAAAATGTTTTCTGCTTTGATATCTTCAAGTACCTTGTGGGACTTATTAATTTGAGACTTTATATCCTTATTTCAATCATTTCCTAGTGGCAGTAGTTCCCAATTATGAACCTTTGTCCGACAACATCTTCAGCAGGATATTTGAGAATCAACGAATCCAAATGTCTTTTGTTTCCTTATAGCAACAATACACATCAAACAAATAATTAGAAAGTGTATTAAGTAAAGTATGTCGATATACCTTGTTTGCATGAATCCAATCTTCAACTTGTTTTGAAGTTGTAGGGAGACTGAAGTCGGGTTTTGGAAATGAAAGAGTAAAAGCGACTTTGTATATGTCTAAAAGGGTAGACACACATATTCTAGGATCGAAAATTTTGACCAAAGAAGACTTCAATTTTCGACACATCCAGAAAAGATTTTTGAAGACCGTTTGAGTTCTGGAAACAATGTTTTGATTTTCCAAGTTGGGGTTGTTGATGTCCATCATAAGTCCTTAAGATTGTTGTAAAATACTAAAAAAATAAAAAAATCCACGAACAAAGATTTGCCAAGATGTGTAGATCCATTGTTCTTAAAAACTTTTCTGTGTATTGTGCAAGTCTTCCAAGATATCATAGGAATTTCTCAAAAAAATTTTAAGATATCAAAACTAGCAAGAAATTCTAAAATAATAAATTCAAAGAAATGAGAGAAGGATGAAATTAAGAGAAAAAGTAGAATGAGAGAAAAATGTATTTGGAGGTGAGCACAAATCTCTCTAGAGAGTTGGAAAATGATCAAAATCAGTCTATCACGGATGAATCCCGTGACTTGCGGAACCTGCAGATTTTGTGAAACTGCATTGACCGAATCTTGTGGTTTCATTTGACCACGTGTGAAAGAAACAACATTCATCCAGTAGCTAACTTTTGCAATATTGTTATAACATTAATAACCCAACTTGAGCATGCAGTCACACGGAGAAATGAGTGAATCTTGTCATCAGCAAAAAAAAAATACTTTCATTTGCTTTTATATAAAGGAGTGTAATCTAGTTATTATATTTTACAACAAAAGTTATCATCTGATATATTTTCTCTAGATATAGTGGTCCATGAAAATTTTTACCAAAACCAATTTTGTTCAATATATTTTCAGGTCTATAGAGTGATAAGTGGATTGGTTGCCCGATCATGGTGCTTGATGGAGATATGCTCAAAAAATGATATTATAAACAAATTGATTAATCCAACTATTGAAACCACGAAAATAGGTATGTATTATAATTTACATTGTTGTTAATTATCTCTCATGCTAATGAAAAATTTATTAAAAAAAGAAAAAGAAAAGAACATTGTTGTTAATTATATTAGTGGTATATGCTTTTCCATTACTTTGTTCCATCTGTCGCATTAACATCACTTGAATTGGTTCATTTCAGGTATGGAAGCCCGATATAACTGCTGCAAGGCTATATTCCAAACTCTGACACTTTCTGATAGTGTTTCTGCTTTTACAGATATATATGCAAAGGTTAGATTTAGATACTTCATTCATATACAGCATCGAATGATATGTGCTTTCAAAATATACAATAATACGAGACTTAGTTATCTTATTGGCTTTCAGTTCTGAGTTGACAATTTTTTATTCGTGTTTGTTTGACTATAATTTTGTTGAATTGAAAATTTAGTAATTGAGTAATGTTTTATGCAGTTGGAGAAAGCTGTTAAAATGGGTCCATATCTTGTTAAGAGCCATGCTGAACCTCAACCTGTTGTGGAGACTGCCGAAAGATTTTAATATATAAATGTGACTGAGTAGGCAATATTTTCTTTCCTTCGCCAAGTTCTTTTTTTCAACATTTGCAAATTGTTTTTTTCTTTTGTTGTGTGTTTGTATGACTTGCAAATAATAGGTGTTTTAGTATTTTTTTTTTGGAGTATGAGTCGGACGTGAAGATGTGTTTTTTTTAAGCTAGTAATGTCACCTTTTTATACAAGTATATCATGGTAAATTTTCAACAAATCGAGTTTTTATTGATTTTACTATCTTCGGTAGAATATCCTTACTAGAGTAGGGGCCAAGCTTTATATATATATATATATATATATATATATATATATATATATATATATATATATATATATATATATATATATATATATATATATATATATATATATATATATATATATATATATATCACTAATTCGGAAGTTCCAAATCTATTTGAAAAAAAACAAGATTTATAACAAAAATTAATATTTAATAATATAATAAATTTTATAACATAAACAATTAATTATTTTATATATAATTTTTGAAGTAAAATAATAAAAATTATTATAATAATTATGGATAAAATATTATTAAAAATGACATGTATATTAATGAAATTATTATTAAATATCTTTTGAAAATGAATTAACGATAATACAGTGTGTTAAGTTTGGAAGTCATCAAACAAAATAAATTATTTATGCAAAAAATTCTTTATATATTAGTTTCAATACTTTTTTATAATAAATAATTGAACTTTCTAAATAAATTTAATAGCTAGAAATAAAAATACAATCGTGTACAAAGATTATTGTAATAAGTGATATTTCTAACTATTTGATTTCAAATTACTATTATATAACTCCAAAAAGCAATTATAGAAAATTTGTATTCATGAATCCAATCAATTTGCATTTTATTCAATAAGAAATTTATAGACCTAACTTAGGTTTGAGAAAGAGATAAATAACAAATAAATATATTATAAATTGAACAAAAAATATATTGTTATCAAATGTTATATTTATTTGTTCATCATGTTTTAAATTATATTAGTTATAGTTTTGGGAGTAGTTTTGGGTAACTTTACAAAACATTTTTTCATACTTTTTTCCTATTCAACTTAGGTTATCTTGAACACTTTTAGTTAATTTTCTTTCACTTTCTTGATGTTCGAGCTCCAAATCATGCGAGCGTTACCTATCAAAGACACTTTAATGGTCAAGTCAATAATTTAACCGTTTGGGTCATAATAAAATCTTTAATTCGTAATATATACAATTATTTATCTTCTTACCTTTGACCTGTATTTATAGGTGTTTAGTTGGGTCGACTAGTAAGATCGTAATCACGACTCATCATCTTAATCAGCAGAACTTGTCGGTAAAACTTGATTAGGAACTATCTTTAAGGTCGCTTAAGACTACGGTCGTTTGATTTTACTAGTACACTGGCCGACCTTCCATTAATGTGAAGATCATACGGTCAGAGCCTCTAAGCCCGAGCCAGGTTTATTTGGTGTTAGGGATTATTGTTTCAGTTCCTCCACAGTATCCTGTATCCATGAGCATTCGTTCTCTATTTGGCTAACAAGTATGCTGTTCGGGTGAATTTTGAATCGTGGTTATGGAAGAGGTAAAGGCTCGTCATCTGTTTCGTTGATCGTGGCTAAATCCAACGGTGGATGCATGCTGCCGGTTATGCAAAATTTTTCCTATAAATAAGAGTGGGGTCTAGTGTCATTTTCACCATTCTCTTTCATTTGCTTTGCCTACCGCACAATTTTGTTTACAATTTCAGGTAACAAAATGGCTATCGTTCATCTATCTTTGTCTCTCTTCCATTTGCTTCGCCTACCACACAATTTTGTTTGCAATTTGAAGTAACAAAATGGCTATCGTTCATCTATCTTTGTCTGAGGAGTCGGCGGGGGTTTGTCGGCATTGCCTTTCAGTCTTCGTCTTCAAACTTTGTGTTTTCTTCTCTCCTTGTTAGAAGTTCCACATCGACTAGAAATAAGGCCAATTTATAGTATATAAGTGGGTGCAAACCTCACCTTACAAGCCGATTTTGTGGGGTTGAGTTAGGCTTAAAGTCCACTTTTTAACACTCTTCGAGACAACCGAGCGAGATAACAACTCGGTCGGCGGTTCAACCACTATATATAGTGATAAGGCTATTTTTGGTATAGCGATCGGTCTTCACTTCGGGGGAGTGGAGGTTGATGGTCAAGATGAGGGAGATAAGTACGTCTGTGATTCCAGGCTATGGTTGAGCTGGTGAATATGTCACCTATTTTCGTTGAAAGAAAGACTTGGAGGATTGGACCGAGCAGGTATGTGTCGTTCGCAATGTAGAAAAGGCTGCTACGATAAAGCTAGCGGTTTGTAAAGGAAATGAACAAGTCTATCATACTGGTCGGTTGTCCATTGATGTGCAGACCGTATGGTCCTATGATACAATTACATTTCTATTTTCATCCAAAATATGTATTTTTAATATTTTCTTTGATTTAACTTAGGAATAGAAAAGTAGGGGTTAAAATGTGGGGTCAACTCACAAGCCTGCATGAAAAATGTAGGGTTAAAATTTCAAGTTCGTTGATGTAACATCCCAAAAATATAGCATAAAACTAATACAGGTGTCATCATTTAATAATATGGTAAAATAGTTACTAGAAATAAAGTTAACCTTACATTTATTTCAAAATAACCATAAAAGTTCAAACTTTACAATAATTCTATACTATTACAAAACTAGGTACATAACCGAGCGGTCATTTCAAAACTAGAACTATAACCGCACGATTAATACATAACCACTCAGCTCTAGTACCGAACGGTCTTAATCTACACAGTAGGATCCTTGCCATCCAACGCCTGCTCCAAAGAACACCCATCTCCCTCTGCTCACACCCACAAGGTGATCATTGCAAATAAGAATTTCTGAATGGAAAGAATAACAAAAGAAGGGTAAGCTAGTGTAATTTAATTAATCATACAAATAAAGCAAATACATAATCTTATAATCATTAAACACTCAAAGTTATGAAATCACCAACCACACAAGCATGCCATGACCGAACACTTGACTTTGACCATCCAGATTGTATAAATTATCGAGTTCTAAGGATTTGTGCACTGGTGTAATGAAGTACTAGAAACTCCATCAGCCATCACACCGGGTTAGTATTACAAACGCCCTCTTGCCATACAGGTACTTTGGAATCAGACCTCCTGCTATTCTCATCACATGACTCATCCCACTCTACTTGAGCATGGATGATTATTTAGAATGTTAGGATAAATCCCAGCAAAACTGATGACAAATTTATGAACACCGGAAAACGGCGTCAAAAACTTGTTTAACCCTCGGCAAGTGTGACCGAATCGTATCAAGTAATAAACTCGGTAAGACCAAGTATCGTTCTCCCAAAGGACTGACTACCTAGTTAGTTATATGATTTCTTGATTATACCTAGTTAGTTATATGATTTTTTGATTATTTAAGACTTGAGAACAAATTGTTATAAGTTTCAAATGCAAAAGACAAAAAGTAAACATGTATGCATGTGATGATCAATGGGAAAGAAGAAACAAAACACTGAATGAATTATATGGATGAGTATGTTGTTGGGGTAATCAATTTCATCTTATCCACTCTCATCTATTTTAGAAATTCATCATTTTTTTCATCAATGTTAATGCCACTCTCTAAATTACCTTGCAAAAAAGCCTATCCTTAATTACGAGTTCATACAATTCCTAGCATCCCTAATAATTAATTCTGAAGCACAGAAGCTTAAAGGCAACACAATTCAGCAAAAATTCCAAGTTTGTCAGAGTGTCGCTCAGTGGCAATTTACCCCTGAGTGGTGATTCTGCAGATTTTTGAAAAAAATCTTTTGACCTTTCCTAACTCCACCCACATACAATTTTCATGCTTCCAGATCAAAATCAATAAGTTCAATCGGTTTAAATATCAATTAATTCATCAAATCATGCATATGAATCAAAACCCCTAAAAATTTCATGCTCAAGAACCCTAGAATGAAAAATGCTTGACTTACTTGGGTGGAGATGCTAAATGAGTAGAGAATGCTTTCAAATTGTGAATAACAATGATGCTCTCTCCCAACCTCAAACTTAGATGGAAAACTAGTGAGAAAGTGAGTGGAAAGGAGATTTTCTCAAGAGGAATGAAGGGAAAATTGTAGAGAACCTTTGGAAAAGTATGTAGGAGTGTGTGTGTAGAGAAGAATCTGAAAATAGAGGCCAATTCGCGACTTAGGGTATAAAAATACCCTAATGGGCTTGGGTTCCGCTAAGGGGCAACCTAAGCCCATCTGCGACACTACCGCTCAGCGACGCTTTCGTGAAGTGCTCTTCTTCTTCCTAGCTTAACCTAGGTGCCTCCTACTCATGCCCCTCAATTTCTTCCTGCAATTAAATTCTTAAATCACTCATGCATCCAAAGCCCTATCATGCAACTAAAGCAGAACAAACAAAAATATAATCAATCAACTAGGTTGCCTCCCAGGTAGCGCTTGTTTAACGTCACGAGCCTGACCCAAACATCCACCAACACCCATCAATAGGTGTCAAACCTAGTATCTTTCAGTAGATACTTCCACCTAGCATCCTTTAGTAGATGCTATTACCCAAAAATTTATAGAAGTAATATCCAAATTTATAAAAATTTACAAGACCAAAATAAAAACAAAAGAAAAATTGTCCTCAAATGCCTTCCAGCAAGCGCTCTTTTAACGTCACTAGCTTGACCCAATAAAGCTCATGTTCCTTCTTCATGGTTGATGCTCATATCACACCAACTCATCAACTGCTTTCGGTCCACTTTTCTGACTCTTCTGGAATGTGGAGACTCTATCTCTATCACCCCATTTTCTTTGTAGTCTTTCACAACCCACAACTTTCTTTTGAACTTCACAGGTTTACCAAGTTGGAGTCGTTCTTACATCCAGTCATTATGGACCTTTCTTCCTTTCCCAATCTTTTCTTCTTCGTGTACCTGAAACAAAAAAACAATGTTTACCTTTGACCTTTGTCTTTTTATGTACAGGGCTAGTCATGAGTACATCTTGATATGTAGCTTTATGACTAGCTTCTTCCTCCTGCATCTGCCTCTCTTCTTTGAAAATATTAACAACAACTCTTTCT